TCTCTCTCTCTCTCTCTCTCTCTCTCTCTCTCTCTCTTTCTCAGTCTCTGCGTCTCGATCATTAGCATAAGCTGTTTACTTATGTAACAGTATACTTTCTTTTCAAATCTTGGCCAGCGCTCATCATTTCTTCATTACTCGCCGTTATAATTCGTGTCAGACAATAAGATATTCGTGTGTCATCGATCAAAGATATATAACGAGAAAGCTTTTACGAGAAATCTTATTGACTATCAATTATGAGGGGTGACTGCCATTTGAATATTGACTTCGATTTCAAACAAAAGATGTAGTGGAGAATTAGAAAGATCAAAAATTTTGCTACAAAAAATGATGAAATGAAATAAAATAAAAAATCGTAAAAATACTTTCTTGATATCGTAATAAATTCTATTTGTATTAGTCAAGTAGAGAATAGTTTTCCACTTTGAGGGTCATTGCGGGTCATTGAGGGTCTCGCGATGATTGGAAAGAATATTGCTTAAAACAATTAAAATAGGTTCTATAACTGATATTCATAGTCGATTCTTATATTTAAGATCATTTTAAGTTCAGCCTTAGGATGTCATAAATCAATCATTTAGCTACTATTTTAGCATCTTAAAATATTAAGATTGGTCTTGAAATAAGAATCGACTATGAATATCAGTCTAAAATATATTTTGTATATGTATATATATTGTTCCATTTCATTTCCATTATCTCATTTTAGAAAAAAATTTTTATTGTTAAAAAAATTTTTATAAAATAATATAAATTAGATATATTTTTATATTTTTTAGTCAATCGGCGAATGCAACTCATCAATCTACAAAGAATTTCCAATAATAATTCACAAGCTCGTGAGCCTATAATTTTCTCTTAATTTTATTACACGCTAAATGAAATGTTTTGCTCAGCGAATTTCGATGAATCGTAACGTGATGCAACAGGAGTCATGTATGATTGATTACCGGCTTGGATTCACAAAAAATTTAGTTAGTTGATCAAATACATTAGAGCTGCATGCGCTTTAATATTCTCAGATGAGCCTGTACATATATTGCATAACGTAAAAACATAGTAAAGACCGATGGATTAAGATTTAACGAGGACATACGAGGTAAAGGATTTACGTGTGACCTTTAACAGGGCTTATCTCTCAAAGTGCATTTGAAATTGCTCCCAGATTAATCCACGACTATTAACTCTGGAATTACGACAGCGTCTGGACCAATGCAAATGGTACAATCGCGCGTTTCTCGACAAGTCTCGTAAGGTGCATTATTACAATCGTTGCGTTCGCATATCGAAAAACAAAATTCCGCAGAAAATTGACAATTAAGTCTCTCGTAATTTTCCTCACACGGGACGTAAATCATCCTTCGTGGCGGGCATTGAATTGAGCAAGGAATTAGGTGATGCTTTTCAGAAAGAGACGCAATGTAACACAGTGATAATCTCATCTTTGTTTAACAGTAGCAAACAGCAAGGATATAATGAATCATTGTGTTACGCTATGTCTATGGGTGCCTTCTAATAATTAGACAGACACGGTATCTTTGTTGTTTGCCAATGTTAAACAAAGATGAAATGATGACTGTGTTACATAGTATCGCTTGTTGGAAAGCTCCTACTGTCTCTGGAAAGCACCCAGAGTTTCGATCGCGATCTGTTCAGGTGAAAGAATCTCCCCAGCATCCTCCCAAGCATTCCAGTTTGACATTCTCGCGTAACATGGTCGTTGTGCCATCGGTCGACCGGTCATTTAAGGTATTTCGACACATGAACATGAAGATTTTGGCAACGCCGTGGACGATGATGGTAGGGCGCAATTTACATCGTACAATTCTGGCTATATATAATCGCCAACTGGTGTGGTACATCGAATCAGTTTAGTGAGCCATCTCAAGTCGGATCACCACTTGTTCTCTGAGAAAAAAAGAACCTGTAGCCATGAAACTGGTGCGTGTTCTACGAAAAATCAGTAATGACGTTTTCCAAAAGAGATAAACGAGTGTCGCTCTCTCGGCTAGTTTTGGGATAATCTCTCGGTGAATCTCGCGATGTGGTGATTTTTCGGAAACTTTCGCTTGTTCGGAACCTCGAGGATTACGAAATATCACACCGTCGTGTTATCAAGCGATACGCCAATTAAGGACATTATCATTTTCCAGAGGAATGCAAAATATGTTGAGAATGTATTAGAATGACATTTATATTATTGTCATCGACGAGAGTCTTTATCTTGTACAAAAGAGAGAAATATGTGTCTCATCTCGTATCTATTTTATTAATTCATAGATTATTCTTTATATTTTTTATACTTCTACATGTTGAAATTCGCGAAAAAAAGGAATATATTGTAACTTTACAAGAATCAGAGAATAGGCTCAGATTGCATCATCAAATTGCGAAAAAAGTGTAAAATTTATCAAAATGTTATTTTATCACTATATAATGATTACGAATCGTCCCAGACAATACAAAGTTTAAAAATTAGAATATAGATGTCTTAAACATATATTTACGAAAAGCGTCTAAGAAACGTCTTAAAGACTTCTTGACGACAAAGATGTCTTTCGTCTTGTATCCCAATTCTAGATTTTGAGTGGACTGGAATTTGACAAACGATTTCATTATTTTGCACGTTACTTCAGATCATCGTCTTCGCCGCCGTCGTCGCCGTCGCCTTCGCGGCTCCCCCTCAAAACTATCATGACCAGGCGGTCGTCGTGAAGGAGACCCCATTGGACAACATCGGCCTCGACGGATACCAGTTTGGCTATGAGCTCTCCAACGGCCAGGCTCATCAAGAGTCAGCCCAATTGCAAAACGCTGGTCATGAAAACGAGGCTCTCGTAGTCCGCGGTAGCTTCACCTACGTCGACCCGGAGACCAACGTCAGGTACACCGTCAACTACGTCGCCGACGAGAATGGATTCCACCCCGAGGGAGCGCATCTGCCAGTCGCCTAAATTCTGACGAGAATTCTACCTGCCAACCTCATCTATCTGTGTTCTTACAACTTTTCGTCCAGTCTCATATTTGAAGAGAATCTCAATCCTCTAGATCTCTCGATCATAGCGATCACACAGACAAATATGACAAACCTAGTTTTAAATAAATTGATTTTTACTTAATCCTTGGTGTCTAAATTATTCCACAACTCTTCCATTTTCAAAACGTCACTTTGATCGTTGGACAAGTAACGTTCTCGATAAATCAAGATTGAATCTTGAAAATGTAATAAATTCTACGAATCAATAAACGAGCATTTCGAATGAATCACCATAAGATATGATAATGGAATCGACATCAACTCGATGTCGATTTGATGTCAAAATCATCATGTCGAAACCGACGTCGACATTTTACTTTTATTTGTCACTGGGAATATTTGATTCGATTAATTTACTATAATACGATTAACAATATAAATTATACAAATAATTTGTATTTTTTTATAAAACAATAAAGATATAAATCATAATATTTTATTAATTGAATTATAGTTTATATTACTCAATCATAATTCAATACTATGTAAGTGATAAATATATTTAATGAAATAATACAAACGCGTTTTGAAACACACACAATAATATGTTCCAATTACTTTTATTTCGCATTCAATTATACCTTATTAGACAATATGTTGAAAAACAATGGAAAATCAAATAGTTAAAAATTTATAATTTTCTTAAGTTGCTTATTTGTCAAATTTCTCTTATAATTTAACATATTTACAGACCTATTATTATTCCACATTTCTTAATTTGTATCGACTAATTGTAAGTTGCGACTTTTGCGAAAACTAAATAGTTATTTATCCATATATTTTTATAAAAATAATAAAAATCTATCGATAACTTAATAATATATTTAATACAATAGTTTTGTATTAAAAAATGCTTTAATATAAATTATTATTTCCAGTATTATATAAAAAAATCGTTTAATTATAATAAACCAATATGTTAATATTTCAAAATATGTTTTATAGGCATATAACCAATTTATTCTTAATTATAATTCTTTTTGTTTTAAATATTAAAATTTATTTTCTTAAATAGCACTATAAATCATTGATAAATTGATTTTTAATTTAGTGATTCAGAACTTCAAAAATTCTTCGCCATCAACACATCCATTAAGTTAAAGATGATACGTTTCGCAACAAAATATAGACCGAAAGAATCCGAATAGATTAACCAGGTAGTTTCTCTTGATCGTATCAAAGGTTAAAAATGTGTTATTTTTACGTTGCTATTATTTTCAAGGCTTTAGCTAGTAGTGTTCCTTGAGGGCGGCTAGAAATCTCATCATGAGATCACAACGTGATGCCGCATGCAGCCTAAAAAGATGAGTGCCGAGAATCAAATTTATTGCTACTTTACAGACTAGGGTCGTCTTAATTTATAGGACTGAGAATTTGCAAAATTACGTCTCTATAAAGGTTACATCAATAATTAATGATTGGAAATTCCTCAAATAAGTTCTTGAAGAAAAGTGGAATTCCATCTTGCATACTCTTGAAAACTGCAAGAGCATTTTTTAACAAACTCAGCGGACTCGACTATACTTTTGTCTAGACATTTACTTATTAAATGAGATTTAATTTATATTATTTTATTATTGTTTATATATTTAAATAAATCATGATATTTATCCAATCATATAAACTATATTTTATTTTAAAATAATTATTTTTAAAATAATTATTTTATGTTAATATCTCGGGTTATATTAATATATTATATATAAAAATGTTTTATATATAATTATATAAAATTATGTAAAAATATGTATAATTTTATATAATTCTATATAAATAAATATATTATAAATAAATAT